AGGTGATGATTCTTTAGACTTTGCTTTTTGATGACTTTCCCAGTTTCGAGGAGTACGGGTCAGGTATTTCACAGAAATTCTCTCAGTTTGGATTTGCTGATTTTTTTCTTAGGATCAGACTATGGTTATGGGTTTTGAGGAGGATGATGAAGTGCCATTCTCATTAAATCATATCAACAGTACATATTATCAACATGGCTTATCATCGTTGATGTTGACCTTCGCCACCTGGCGGAGGTAACGTTTGTCAGACTTCTCTGTAAAATTATACTTTTCCCCCCTTTTTCATACTGTCCGCTTAGAAAGAAAGTCACTAAGTGCAGCTCACCCTTAAAGAGTGGGAAATTATGTTCCACCTCATTGATGGGGAAGTATTTATATAAATTACTTGGAATTCTTCTGCAGGAGAGATTTGTCTTATTCATTTAGTCATTTATGGACTCATGATATTTGTGTCATACTTTAGGTTATTATCCAGTACCACTTTATTTTGCCGCCCACATTGTTCCAGTCTTGGTCACTGGGAGCACCCTCAGTTGGCTCCTGATATATATATATATATATATATATATTTTTTTTTTTTTTTGAGCATTTCCTCACTTTTCTGGCACTATAAGATGCCCCAGGCTTATCTCCTCCATTTCCTGCTCCAGTCCTAGAATCAACCATTTCTCTAAGGAATCCTGGCTCTTTTTATTGGAGAAATATATTAGAAACCAAGATCTGGGTATTGGTATGCTTGGAACAACTAGCTGCTGGGGTATTCTGTTTTCTAGATCCTCTCAACTGTCAGAGCTAGGAAATATATGTATGTTTACTAACAGGAAGTGTCCCAATGGGATCAGCGAAATAGCACATCCTATAGGAAAACGTCCTTGTCTACTCAAGACTTTGGGTGGGCCCTTCTCCCTATTCCCACCACACTCTGGTCGTGCATTGTATATCTACACACGTCTATAGATACTTGTATGTGTATCTATGTGTAAACTAGATGAAGCTAAACATGAGTTCACTCTGATGCCTCTAATTCAAACCCATTACCAAACGGATCATTCTGGCCTTCATGAATCATTTTTTAATAACAGCACTGTATTTGGTCTTTTATGCTGGGCATAGTGACAAGCCGTTTACAAAGATCACCCCATTTAATCCTCAAAACATCTTTATGGGTAAATACTATTGCTCACATTGAACAGATGAGAACACTGAGGGAGTAGAAGATGGAGTATCTGATCTAAATGTAGTACGTGGAGGGGCCAGCACAAGAGCCTACGTCCTTGGGATCGACAGAACCACCATCCCCACATTCATTTAAGTCCTTGCAAAAAACCTCAGTTCTGAGTGATTTAAGATGCAGATGTAATTCCCAGCCCTCAACAACTAGTGTTCTGTTCACATCTTACCTCTTCAATACTTCTTCCACTTTCCAGGGTCCTCTCCTCATCTGACATGCTAACTGCAACACAGGTTGCCAAGTTACCGCTTGACTTGACTTGACGACGCCAGGAAAGGGGTGGTAGAGCAATGGCAAGGATCATCTCCATCTGACCCCGTGACTTTTCAACCTCTGGCTAACCCCCGCTGTGTATTATCTTGGGTTTGGGGGACTTGGTAGTAATTAACTCTGAACAAGCAGCTCTGCTTTCATGGAGTTAAAAAAAGGAACAAGTATTCATTTTTCCTTGTTAATTAAATCACCTAAAGGAAGATAAATGTACAGCCCACACTTGTATCTTCCAAAATATCAAAGGCCTGATTAGTAGGGCTTATGTTCAACCTCAAGCTTTTTTCCAGATTCCTGGAAGTAACAGGGACCGGGAGTAAGGAACTTCTAAGTATTTATGAATAATTGCTTACTTGGACATTCATTCATTCATTCATTCATTATCTAGAAAGAGGCAACCGGGATCAAGCATAAAATATTCTTGGGAATTTTGACTCAATCAATGTACTGAATCAGAAACATCAGCAGTGCACAGACAGGAAGAAACAGAATCCTTTAGACCAGGTTGAATACCACTTTTTGAAAAGCTCAGAGCCCCTTCTGGTCCCCGTGTTCTGTTTGGTGAATTTTTCCTGACAGTTGGTGGTTTTATTTGCCAGAACCACAACAAAGGGGGTCCTTGAGTTTTCCCGGGAGTGTTTCCTTAGACCAGCACCTCCCCTAGACCTCACAAAGGTGTTATTGTTGCTAGCTCACTGGGCGCCCGGCACCTGAGCAAGATCAAAGGCACTTTCTGATGCCAGCATGACCACAGTCTCGCCCTCACCACATAACATTAAAGCTGATGATTAATCCCGTTGGCCCAGAAGGTCCCTTCCCACTCCCAAGTACAAAGCGGGATGGGGGTGGGGACTTTATTTCCAGCACAACACGACCATAATAAACTGGCATTTTATGGCCCTCATTCATTGCAACCAACTGCAGCTGCCCATCAAACTCGTTAAAGCCCCAACAGTTGCTTCATGTGAGCCTTATATGACACTAGGAAAGTGTACTAAGAATCTCCACCATATCTGAGTGTCTGCTCTGTACTAGATATATACGTGCACGATTCACAGTAACCAGCAACACCATGAGACTGGCAGAGCCACCCCCGATGGGATGGAGGAGGGATGTGAGATTCGGAAAAGTAGCTCACCTCTCAGGTCACAAGCCCAAAAAGTGCATGAACAGGTGTTGAACCCACATCCGGATAGCTCTGAAGCCCAGGCTGTCTCCACTTCTTTGAGGGACATGACCATCGTGCACAACACAGCAAGGCACTGAGAGGGATGCGTTTGGGAATGAGACAGAGCTGGGTCTGAGTGCTGAGCTCCAGCTTAACAGCTTGTGACCCAGGGAACACTGCTGGACTTTTCTACTCCTTAGCTGCCTGATTGGCAAAATGGATCCTGTAGGAAAAGGGAGTACCATCTCCATTAAGAGACACGGAGAATGAGAAGTGGGCACACGACAAAGTCCCTCACATTCATTTGGATTTGCTTCTGCTCAGAAATCTGAACTGAGTGTAGTAAAAGTGCCTGAAATTCAGATTTCACAGGAGAAACCAGATTAGCAGTGTCCCTGTGAAAATGGGGGTGATTTAAATAGGTTTCAGTCAGGGTTCAGTTAAGACAAGCTAACCAGTGTAGACTCGTGTCTAGGGAGATGAGTGCGGGCTGCCCAGCAGGGCACCCCCTGTGTGAGGAGGCCTGAGGCCTCTGCAGACCTTTGCCTTCAGGGATAGCTGGGCCCTACAACAGGCCTGCTGTTAACTTCAGTTAAAGAAGTTCCACTTAAGACCTTGTCCACAGAAACAAGTAAAAGGAAAACGGGGGGGGGAGGGGATGCCTGGGTGCCTCAGTCGGTTAAGCATCTGCCTTCGGCTCGGGTCATGATACCAGGTACCTGGGATGGGGTCCCGCATGGGGCTCCCTGCTCAGCGGGGAGCCTGCTTCTCCCTGTGCCTCTGCCTCTCCCTTTGCTCGTGCTCGCTCTTGCTCCCTCTCTCACACACACATACAAATAAATAAAATCTTAAAAAAAAAAACTTTTTGTTTGTTTGTTTTTGGTGGGGGGAAGGGGAGGATCAAGGGAATCTATGACCTTGGAATCTAACATAAATGTCCCCTCAGGAAGGTGTCCCTAACCCAAAACCCTTCCCAGGCAGAGTTAGTCCCGGTCTCCTTTCTGCCCGACAGCACCAGCACAACTCATCAAGAGCTAACCACTATGGTGTGCTTACTTTATGTGAAGCACACTGCAGCCTCATTTCATGCTCAGAATACTAGGAGCCGTGTACTAGAACTCTCCACATTTTGTAGATAAGGAATCTGAGGCCCGGAGGGGATAAATACCTCACCAGGGGACCCATACTTAGTAAGCAGAGTTAGTAAAATTGGAAACCAATGGGGCTGGCACTACCATCTCCGTGAAATGGGAAGCTGTGCACAGTGTTCGGCACATGGTAGATGCTCAGGATCACAGGTTCAATCTGAATGGATATCCTGGGGCCTTGTACTATTAATGCCAGCTATAATTGTGCCTCATCAATGGCAGGACTTCTGTCACCCTTATGTCCCCAAGGTTCAGCACAGCTCCGGACACAAGAAGAGGGGATAAGTAAGTAAGTAAATGCATCACTATTTACTCAACCAAAATATTTAATGGTAAAAAAGGCTCACTGGTCCCTACTGTTACTCAACACAGTTTGACACGGCACATGATTCCCTCCATGGCTGCAGAGATTCTGCCCCTGGACTGTGTCCACGCTAATCCTTGCCCACCTTCCCCCTCCTTCTCTCCCTCTCTCCCTCTATTTTACTCATCTGGGAAAAATCCAAGGAGTCGTCCATCTAAGTTTAACAGAGTAATGACTTTTAAATAAAAATATGGTAGAAATGGGTACTTATCGAAATGGAATGCTTTCAGACTCATGCATTTAAAGGAGATATAAATTTTAGGGCAGGCACTAAATTTTAACTGCAATCTTGGGAGAACGCCTTTCCACTAATTCATGGAGAAAAATTAACAGTGAAAATTGCTTATCAGTGTTCTTTTGAAGTCATGATATGCAGCCTGATTCTATAGATCATCAGGGCGCTCCCAGGGAGATGGATTTATATTGATTTGGAGAGAGCTCAGTGGCCAAGGAAAATAGACACCCCTTTGCAGAGAAGACTCAGCAACCCATTAGGGACAGATCCGCCTGGGAGCAAGGCGTTGCCACCCTTGGATCCAATTTCACCCCTCATGCCTGGGCTCTCTGACCAGGGTGATGTCAAAGACAGACTCAGACCTTTGCACACTTTTTAAGAATCTGGCCCCTGGAAAAAGAAAGATCCGGCAAATCAAAGCACAGCTTTTGGGAGACGGGCTGGGCTTCTGGCTAGACAGCAGGCGGGCAGCAGGAAGGAAGGAACTGACAGGCAAAGGGGCCAGCAAGTCACATCTCCTCTTAGGCTGCCCCTCCCCCCACCAAGGGGTGGTGGCCCTGCCCCCTGCCCGGCAGACTCACCCCCATGTGACAAGAAGACGTTCCACAGATGACAGCCAGCCGTGACGTCACTGGCTGTCCCTCACAGGCGAGGCCGTACCCTCTCACATCTGCTCCAATCACTCCTGTGAGAAAGCAGAACAAAACAAAACCCTCTTTAAAAAATGCTAAAATAAAGAATGAGAAAAGAAAGCTAAGAACAAGCATAGGACACTCCTTTATACAGCCAAACACTGAGAGAGCATTCCTGTGCAGGCCCGTCTCAGATGGAAAGCAAGAGAACATACCTGCCTGCCATGGGGAAACTAGGTAACTGGTGCTGTCCTTGCTTAATCTGGTCAGTGTACAGCATCTAACCATTGTAGGAATCACAGTAACCGTAGTCAGAGTAATAAAAGCATCGGCCATCCATGATTCTACACTCAGAAAATACCAGGCACTGTGCTGAATATTTATGTGCATGACCTCCCTTTCTATTAACCCTGTCAAGTCCCTACTGTTAGTGCCACACCTCTCAGTGTAGAAACCGAGGCACACAGAGGTTGAGTGACCCGACCAAGGTCACACTGCTAGTGAAGGTCAGAGATGAATGGGATCTGGCTTAACACATCCCATTTCAATCTCAAAGAAGGCAACTGAGCTGTGTGATGACTAAATCTTTTTGGCATCTCTAGGTCCCCATTCTTACTACTACTTATCACAGAACTCTTGGTGTAAAGGACAGGGTGACTGACAGTGAGTTTCTGTTCAAAGAATGCGCGATAATGGAGACTTTCCCGTAAATGGTATAAGCTCGGGCTTCTTCTGCACAGACTGTATTTGTTGATACTTGCTGGATAAATGAAGTTATAAATGTGATGACAGAGCTAAAAGGACTATTTAGATCCTAGAATGGTCCATCGTTTATTCAAATGTCCAACAAGCATTTTCTATGCACAAAACCATACAGCAGGCGTCATGAAGTGGGAGCGGCAAACATGCCAACATTCCTCACTACAACACAGGCGGGGGGGCAGCATGTGGGGGCAGGGCGGAGACGGGGCTCCCGCGGACCTCCCCATCTCCACGCAGCACCAGCCTCGCCCCCACTCCCCGCTCTCTTTCCCACTTCAGGACCTCTGCACTTGTTCTTGCCTCTATCTGAAATGCCATTCCCCAACCTCTTTGCCAGGTTACCTCCTATTTATTCCTCACTCCAATGTTACTTCCTCAGGCGGCTTCCCTGGTCCTCCAGGAAAGATGGGAGTCTCCCTGTTCAGTATTCAAACACACCCTTGAACTTCCCTAGCACACAAGATAGTGTTTTGTCTTTTTTTTAATTTAAATACAAGTAGCCAACATATAGCACATCATTAGTCTCAGATGTAGTGTTCAGTGATTCATCAGTTGCATATAACACCCAGTGCTCTTCACATCATGTGCCCTCCTTAATGCCCATCACCCAGGTACCCTACTCCCCCTCCACCTCCCCTCCAGCAACCCTCAGTTTGTTTCCTATAGTTAAGAGTCTCTCATGGTTTTTCTCCCTCTCTGATGACTTCCCATTCAGTTTTCCCTCCCTTCTCTTATGATCCTTTGTGCTGTTTCTTATATTGCACATGAGTGAAACCGTATGATAATTTGATTTACTTATTTTGCTCAGCATAATACCCTCCAGTTCCATGTAAATGGTTATGTAAATGGTTAAGATTTCATCCTTTCTGATGGCTAAGTAATATTCCATTGTGTGTGGGTGTGTATACCACATCTTTTTTATCCAGTCATCTGTCAATGGACATCTGGGCTCTTTCCATAGTTTGGCTATTGTAGACCTTGCTGCTATGTACATTGGGGTGCAGGTGCCCCTTCAGATCACTACATTTGTATCTTTGGGGTAAATACCTAATAGTGCAATTGCCTGGTCGTAGGGTAGCTCTATTTTCAACTTCTTGAGGAAGTTGTCCATACTGTTTTCCAGAGTGGCTATACCAGCTTGCATTCCCAACAGCAGTGTAAGAGGGTTCCCCTTTTTCCACATCCTCGCCAACATCTGTTGTTTCCTGTCTTGTTCATTTTAGCCATTCTGACTGGTGTGAGGTGGTATCTCACTGTGGTTTTGATCTGTATTCCCCTGATGCTGAGTGGTGTTGAGCATTTTTTCATGTGTCTGTTGGCCATCTGGATGTCTCCTATGGAGAAATGTCTGTTCATGTCTTCTGCCCATTTCTTGATGGATTACTTGTTTTTTGGGTGTTGAGTTTGATTAAGTTCTTTATAGATCATGGATACTAGCCCTTTATCTGATATGTCATTTGCAAATATCTTCTCCCATTCTATAGGTTGCCTTTTAGTTTTTTTCGCTGTTTCCTTTGCTGTGCAGGTTTTTATCTTGATCAAGTCCCAGTAGTTCATTTTTGCTTTTGTTTCCCTTGCCTTTGGAGACTTGTCTATCAAGAAGTTGCTGTGGCCAAGGTCGGAGAGGTTGCTGCCTGTGTTCTCCTCTAGGATTTTGATGGATTCCTGTCTCACATTTAGGTCTTTCATCCATTTTGAGTTTATCTTTCTGTACGGTGTAAGAAAACGGTCAAATTTCATTCATCTAGATGTGGTTGTCCAATTTTATTGGATGCACCATTTACTGAAGAGACTGTCCTTTTTCCATTGGATGTTCTTCCCTGCTTTGTCGAAGACTGGTTGACCACAGAGTTGAGGGTCCATTTCTGGGTTCTCTATTTTGGTTCCGCTGATCTATGTGTCTGTTTTTGTGCCAATATCATACTGTCTTGATGATTATAGCTTTGTAATAGAGCTTGAAGTCTTGCATTGTGATGCCACCAGCTTTGGTTTTCTTTTTCAACATTCCTCTGGCTATTCAGGGTCTTTTCTGATTCCATACAAATTTTAAGATTATTTGTTCCAGCTCTGTGAAAAGTGTCGATGATATTTTGATAGGGTAGGGATTGCATTGAATGTGTACATTGCTCTGGGTAGCACAGACATTTTAATAATATTTATTCTTCCAATCCACACGCATGGAATGTTTTTCCATTTCTTTGTGTCTTCCATGATTTCTTTCATAAGTGTTCTGTAGTTTTTAAAATACAGATCCTTTGCCTCTTTGGTTAGATTTATTCCTAGGTATCTTAACAGTTTTTGATACAATTGTAAATGGGATTGATTCCTTAATTTCTCTTTCTTCTGTCTCATTGTTAGTGTATAGAAATGCTACTAATTTCTGTGCATTGATTTTATATACTGTCACATTACTGAATTCTTGTATGAGTTCTAGCAATTTGGGGGTGGAGTCTTTTGGGTTTTCCACACAGAGTATCATGTCATCTGCAAAGAGTAAGAGTTTGACTTCTTCTTGGCCAATTTGAATACCTTTATTTCTTTTTGTTGTCTGATCGCTCAGGCTAAGACTTCTAGTACTATGCTGAACAGCAGTGGTGAGAGTGGGCATCCCTGTTGTGTTCCTGACCTTAGGGGAAAGCTCTCAGTTTTTTTCCATTGAGAATGATACTCGCTGTGGGCTTTTCATAGATGGATTTTATGATATTGAGGTACGTACCCTCTATCCCTATACTCTGAAGAGTTTTGATCAAGAAAGGATGCTGTACTTTGTCAAATGCTTTTTTTACATCAGTTGAGAGGATCATATGGTTCTTGTCCTTTCTTTTATTAATGTGATGTATCACGTTAATTGATCTGCGAATGTTGAACCACCCTTGAAGTCCAGGAATAAGTCCCACTTGGTCGTGGTGAAGAATCCTTTTAATGCATTGTTGGATCCTACTGGCTAGTATCTTGGTGAGAATTTTGGCATCTATGTTCTTCAGGGATATTGGTCTGTAATTCTTCTTCTTGGTGGGCTCTTTGTCTCATTTTGGGATCAAGTTAATGCTGGCCTCATGGAACGAATTTAGAAGTTTTCCTACCCTTTCTATTTTCTGAAACAGCTTCAGAAGAATAGGTATTAGACACTGGTGGTTTTAAAATCCCTACACTGCCTGCCTCTTCTTCTATAATAAAAGCTTCTGGAAGCTGACACTTTCTTATCCACATGCTTAGAAGCCCAGCCCCTCCACAGATGCTAGTGCAGAGCAGGAGGCAAGAGTACCAAGGCGTGGGGATGCAAGGATAAGGAAGATGACTCCCTGTCCTTGGGCTGCTCCCAGTCTGGCAGGAGGGAAAGAGAACCCTAACGGAGCCCTTCTCTGAGGGGGGCCAGGATAGGATGGAAGCATGGGGGCCACAGGAGCAGCTGAGTTCAATCGGTAGGGGTTCAGGGAGGTTCCCCCAGGTCCTGCTGTGCTCTGCAGGAACTGGCCAGGGGAAAGGCGGGGTAGGGGTGCCTCCGCAGAACATAAATCCCCAGATATTGACAGCATTGGCTGCTCAGCAAGCAGGACTTTCCAGAAATCAGGACCTCGAGGGCCAAGGAGAGGCTCTTACATTCCAACAACTTTCTAGGTTTTTCCAAGGCTTTTTCCAAATTCTACCTCCCCAAGCACAGCAACTTGAAAACCTGGGCCATTGTTCAGAGGCCCAGCAGCGGGGGGAAGACTCTTTCAAACTTTCTGTGGTGATTATCACCGCAGTGAGGTCCCAGCAACTGGGTGATTGAGGTCTGAGACTGAGCCTGTAAGAGTCCTGGGCCTATTGGCTTTTATCAGGTCCCCTGCTCTGCTCAGTACTGTGGGTTCCTGCAGACTGCAATTCAACATCGGCCAGGAGATCTGAAGGCTGCAGAAAGTAGACAGGCAGAGTGTGTCTCCTTCTCCTGTTTGACTTCAGCTCTGCTGACAGGGCTGCATGGCTCTGATATCTGCTGACACCCTTGGACTCTGGTAAGCCCCTCCTTCCTTTGTCTCTCCTGCCTAGGGGTAGAAACAGCTTCCATTTTGCTGATCGCTGGCTTGCTTCACAGGGATATAGCCAGTCTTGGCGCCTTCATTATTTGGGTCACCACTTTTCTGTACTAAATTCCCTGTTTTTTAAATACTTAGGGCAGTTTAGATTTTTCTAGGTGGGCCCTGAGTGACACAGCTCCCTATCCAGGGCACAAAAGCTTTCACAGGAAGAAACCCTAGACATGAGCTAGTATTTTTTTTTAATTTTTTATTGTTATGTTAATCACCATACA